TGGCGCGTCCCTCCTGGGCCTCTTGCTGAGGGCTGAAGGGTTCTGCAGGAACTCGAGCATGGTCCTGTAGAGACCTTCGTACTGCCCTGCCTGTCCGCCCTCCAGCAATTCAGTAAGCTGCTGCTTGCAATCCTCCGCCACGCGTGAGTCCGAGGGTGCCACTGGGGCTGGCGAAGGGCCGCTGCCCGACATGGCACGCCGCGCGGCCTCCTCGGCCTGTGCCCTCCGCCGTGCTTCCTCCTGCTCCTGGAAAGAGGCCCCAGCAGCAGCCAGGTCGCCCAGGAGGTCCACCGCGGTGCGGAGCTGGTCCGCCTTCGCCACTCTGAACGACTCGGGCAGATGGCCGAACAGCGTCTCCACCAGCCCGTTGACCGCCGCCTTGCAGTCATCGCCAGCAGGGTGAAGAGCAGCACGTCGATGGAGCCTCTGGAGCTCCTCCTCTTCCTTCTTGACCGATTCCGCCAGAGCCGCCTGGGATGCAACGCAGTCCTCCAGGTCCTGCTCCAGCTCCGTGATCTGTTGACGGAGGTTGGCCTCCGTCGCCTTCGACGCAGTAAGCTGGCCCTGGAAGTGGGCCAGCTTGTCCTGATGGGACCGAACTCGCATCCATGGCGGTGGGCCACGTTCGTCAGGTTGGGCAGCAGCAGCGGAGGGCACCTGAGCCTTGGCGGCCACCATGAGCGGGTGGTCGTCAGCCAGCCCAGCAAGCGTGAGCTGCTCCACTGCCGCCGCGAGGTAGTCGCGCTGCGTCTGCTTGCCACCTGTGTCCGAGCCTTTGCCACTGCGCTGCTGGGCCGAGCCGCCCTTCCCACTCCCAGACTGGGATTGGTCAGCACTCGTGCCTGGGCCCGACTTGGCCTTGCGGCGCGTGGACTCCACCTGTTGCCATGCATCCTTGGACTGCTGCTCGCCTGACCAAGGACGGGGGGGCCCCTTGACCGTGTCCCGAACCGGGTCGTCGCGGAGCCACTTCTTGCAACGATAGCAGCGAGCCCAATCCACCAGATTATACTGATAGCCACATGAGCTCTTGCCATAGCACGTCTTGTAGCCGCTCTGGGAGCGGGTCTGGTGTCTGCTCTGGGAGCGGGGCTGCGGGGGCGCGGGGACCATGCCACAGCAGCTCGAGAGCGGGAGAAGCCAAAATCCCTCGTCTGGCCTGGCAGACGAGGAGGAGCACTGTGGAGGCCGCTGCTCCCCCCTTGCCAGTGAGGCCAGGTCCTGACCCGAAAGGGCTACGGACTTGAGCCAAAATGGCTACGGACCAGGCGGGCGGGACGTGGCATCGCGGTTCTTTGGTAACACGTGTTCGCCAGCGTGGACCCCCAAAAAATGTATTTCTACAAGTCTACGTTGTGCAACCGATGTTGGTGCAAATATGTGATGTGCATTAGATGTTGTGCAACACATGTTGTGCAATATGTGTGGTGCACTCTACGTGGTGCAATCTGCAATGTGCAATATATGTGGCACAATGAATGTAGCACAAACTACGTAGTGCAATATAAGGTGTACGATATGAGTTCTGCGCTATATGCGAAGCGTTACATGTGAAGCAAAATAGATAATGCATACTGACGATGTGAAGCACCATTGCGCGCTAGATGTTGCACAGTGCTTGTGGTTGAATAAATGTGGCGCACTACATGCTGTGCAACACCTTGTGTAATATATGCTGTACAACCGATTCTGCGTTATCTATGTCGTGCATTCTACGTTGTGTTGTATATGTCGTGCGATTTACGTGGTGCACTTTTTTGATGTGCAAAATATGTTGCGCACCATATGTAAGATTAAATATGTAATGAAACTTTGTGGCGAACTCGATGTTGATCCATAAACGTTAACCGAAGACTGTGATGCAATCTGTGTGGTTCGATACATGCGGTGCAATCGAAGTGGTACAACCTACGTGCTGCAATATGTGATGTGCGATCTACGTGGTGCGCTCTACGCGGTGCAATTTGTGGTGCAACCAACGCTGCCGAACTTGACGTTGTCAACTCCACTACTCGCACAGTCTTCCCACCCACCCACCCGCAACTTCGTTTGCAAAACCCAGGCGATTGCGACGAGTGTTTGGTGTTGGTTGGTGCATCTCTGCGGCCGCGTTAGCCGCGCATGCTCGCGCGCGCAGCAGCCAGCTAGTCTTGCGCGACCGACGCGGCCGCAGTGGCGCTGACTTCTGGGAACTTCCCAGCGGGCACTTCAATGCGAGTCGGCGACGTGGGCGGGCACGGTATCATGGCAACGTCGACAACAGTAGACACGGTGATGATTGGTAGCGGTGCTGGCGACGATGGTGACAACGACGACGGCAAGGCCAGCGACGGAGGCCGATGGTGATCACGCCGACGACGATGACGGTGTCCTCACGTCGACGATGAAGGTTTTGGAAGGAGTTCAACATGCGCGCGCGGACGACGCGCGAGAGTGGCCCGCACTATATCATTTGACACGGACCGTGCGCCTCAGCACGCGCGCAAGGGCATTCGAATGACTTCGACATGCGGCGCGGTAGGCCTGCGTGGCCAAATTTAATGAAAATGTTGGAGCGACTATGGTTTTCTTCAGAAACGCAAGAGCGCGAGTGCAGGTTTTTGATGAAAACTGATGTTGCAAAACCATACTAATTTTTGTTTTTGTGTCCGGCACACTCGATTTTGAAATCACTGCGAAACCCCAGGTGTTTGAAGGATTCCGGCATGCGCGCGACAACGCGCGCGTGCGCACGTCGTTCCAGTTTTTGCGGGGGGTCTTGCTACAGCACGCGCGCAAGGGGGTTCGAGCGATTTCGAGATTCGCGCGCGAAAGGTCCTTTTGGTAACATGTTATGAAAACATTGAAAGCCCGTTGGCTTTCTTCAGAATATTCAAGAGCGCGAGCGCAAGTTTTTTTTTTGATAATTCGTGCTGCGAAGCCATGTGCTCTTATATGTTTTCGGAACACTCGATTTTGAAATCCTCACCAAACCTACGGTTCTTGAAGGATTTCGGCATGCGCGCGCGACGACACATGCGGGTGCACCTCGTCCCATGTTGCAAAGAATTCCTGAAAATTTGTAATTTTGATAAACGAGAGCGCGCACATAGATCTTTCTGCAGAGGATGAGAGGGGGGAGGATACTAGTTTGCACAATGGGACAGAGTCATATGTAAATCGCAATACGCGAAGGGGTCCCGATAATGCGGCGACTGCATGGGCGGCAGCGAGACTGCGACAGGGCGGCGACGGCTGCCGCATAGCCGCCAGACCGCCATTCAAGGACAGACGACGGGCGGCGACGAGGCGGCGACGGGGAGGCGACGGCGGCCACATAGCCGCCAGAGCGCCATTCAGGGCCAGTTCCTCAGAAGAGAAGTAAGAGCCCCTAAGTGCGAGCACTGCTTGGGGAATGTCAGCCAGCGTGGACCCCAAACAGTTATTCTTACAAGTCGTGTGGAGCAATCCAGGTGGTGCAGTCCATGCGGTGCAATCGCAATCTATAGGCGCAACGCAACACCAAACAATACAAAGCAATGCAAAGCAATGCAAAGCCATAGGAAGCCATGTAAAGCAACACAAAGCAACGCAAATCAATGCAATGCAGAGCAATGCAATGCAAAGCAATGATAAACAATGCAGGGCAATGCAAAGCAATGCAAAGCAATGCAAAGCAATGCAAAGCAATGAAAAGCAACGACAGTACTGCAAAGCAATACAAAGCAACGCAAAGCAATCCAAAGGAATGCAAAGCAAAGCAATGCAGAGCAACGCAAAGCAATGCAAAGCAAAGCGCAGAGCAAAGCAATGCAAAGCCTCACAAAGCAAAGCAACGCAACGCAATGCAAAGCAAGGCAATGCAGATCAGTACAAAGCAATGCAGGGCACTGCAAAACAATGCAAAACCATGAAAGGCAATGTCAAGCAATGCAGAGCAATGCAAAGCAATGCTAAGCAATGCAAACCAGCGCAAGGCAATGCAAAGCAACGCAAAGCAATGCACAGCAATGCAAAGCAATGCAAACCAATGCAAAGCAATGCAAAGCAATGCAAAACTTGCAGAGCACAAAGTAGCAAGGCATAGCAATGCAAAGCAATGCAAAGCAATGCAGGTCCAGATGACGGGTGGCGACGAGGCGGCGACGGGGCTGCGACGGGGCGGTGACGGGGAGGCGACGGCGAGGACATAGCAGCCAGACCGACCCCCAGGCCCAGACGAGGGGAGGCGACGAGGTGGCGACGGAGACTACATAGCCGCCAGACCGACCCCCACGCCCACTTGCTTATTCCAGAAGGAAGAGACCCTAATTACGTGCAAGCACTGTTTGGGGTGTCGTGGAAAATTCTGAGGCGAGAGCGCGATTCCTAGGTGAGTTGCGAGGACGAGGAAGGCCTTGGCGAGAGCACCATTCCTCATCAGGCCCATCCTCCTGCTGCTCCTCCTCCATGGAGGCACGGAGGAGGAGTGAGGGCGGATGGCGGGTGGAGGACGGATGAGCAGGTGGACGAGGATGGCGGGATCATCGCCGCCCACAAAATAAGGCTCTTGACAACCAGTACCACCACTTGACAGCTTCTCATCGCAGACGTGGCACCTTGCAACCAACACGTTTCGGAGAAAGAGGTGCGCTCAGCAAGGATAGTGGTCGACAAGGATTTCGGAGGATAGGATCAGGCAACTGATAAAAGGTTTGCTTGCCAGGTTGTAAAGCGGTCCTGCCATTCTGAGCCATTCTCTGCCAGCCCTGAAGTCCGCGGAGGGCGCCGAGAGGCCGGAAACGACAAAAACCGTAGGACCCGTCTCTGTCAGGACCCGCTTCCTTGGTCATCTGGCTTTCAGGTCATGCCTCGGGCCTCTGTCCGGGAGGATTCGGCAACCCTCAAAAGATCTTCACGAGGCGCAGCTGCTGGAGAGTACCTCGAGTCGAGAAGACATCCAAGAACACATGCGATTTTCCATTAACCATGGAGCCCAGGACCCCTCCCATTCACGGCGACCCCGCATGCCGTGCCCCCTCCTTGAGCGGGGTAGCCAGCCGACGGGGTGGGCCCGCCGGGCGGCTGGAGAGCGCCGGCGCCCGGCGTGCAGCCTTGAGGGGGGGACGGCGGGCGTCTGGTGCGGCGGCGGCGGCGGTGGGGGCTGACCTCCTCGTGCTGCTGATGCTGTTCCTGCTCCTCCTCATCCTGCTCCTGGCTCCTGGCGCTCCTGGCTCCTCCTCCTGGTTCCTCCTCCTCCTACTCCTCCTCCTCCTCCTTTTCCCTCTCCCCCCTCCTCCTGCTCCTCCTCCTCCTCCGCCTCCTCCGCCTCCTCCTCCTTTTCCCTCTCCCCCCTCCTCCTCCTGCTCCTCCTCCTCCTCCTCCGCCTCCTCCTCCTCCTCCGCCTCCTCCTCCTCCTCCGCCTAATCCTCCTCGTCCCAATCCTTTCCCTCATGAACAACTCCTCACTGTCGAACCCCGATGCCAGTCGAAGAGCGGGCCGGGCGTTTCGTCTGAGACTTCCTTACCACTTATGAGCCTGAAGCTAAAAAACTGACAACGGTTTCACAGATGGAGGGCGGGTCGCTTCCAAAATGGGGCTCCCGCCCGAGCGCCGAGCACATACGTCTTAAAACATCGCAGGAGTTTTTTTTTAAGGTAGATCGCATCCACTTGTAATCGAATTCCAAGATCAGTGGATCCTGCCCGAATAAGATTACATTCGCTGTGGCTCCGTCCCCAATAGGATTCAAATAGAAGCGGATCCACATCTAATAAGATTATACCCCAGGTGTTTCCATCCTTCATGGGATTCTATTGGAGGTGGATACACCTCTACTGGGATTCTATTCGAGGCGAGTCCACATTGCATGCAATTCACTTACCCGTGACCCCGTCCATAACAGGATCCCAATAGAGGCGGATCCACCTCTCATGGGATTATGTGAGAGATGAGTCCTTCCTTGATCGGTTTGTAATACATGTTGTCTCCTCCTTGATAACATTATATGAAGAATAAATCCAATAGCATTCGATGAGCAATAAATCTACCCCTGATAGGATGATAGGAGATATGGCTCCGCATGGTTTAGCAGGTTACCAAGGTGCTGGCAGAGTTTAGCAAAGCTAGCGGGTGTCAGCAACTATTGGCAAGTCTCAGCAGGGCATATCAGCGGTTAGCAGAGCCTGGAGGCTTGGTCGGGCTTATCAGGGCTTCGCTGGGCTCGGCAGGTGACTAGCAGAAACTATCAAGGCTTAGCAGAAAGCCAGCAGGGCTTAGCCGCGATTCGCAGTGCCGGACACGGCGTGGCTAGACCTAGCAGAGCTCAGCAGGGGCCAGCAGGGCGTAGCACGGCACCGCAGTGGCTTGCAAGGCTCAGCGGGGCAAGGCGTAGCAGCGACTAGCAGGAGATTAGCAAGGCTTCGGAATGAAAATATTAGATGTGGCTCCATTCCCAATAGGATTCAAATAGAAGTGGGACCACATCTAATACGAATACTCCAAGTGCTTCCATCCTTCATGGAATTCTTTTGGAGGTGGCTCCACCTCTACTGGGAATATATTAGAGGTGAAGCCAGACTGCATGCAAGTCAATTACCAGTGCCCCCGTCCATGACAGGATCCCAATAGAGGTGGACCCACCACTCATGGGATTATATTAGAGCTGAGTCCTTCCTTATTCGGATCCTATTACAGATTGCGTCATCCGGAATAAGAGTATGTTGGAGGTGGGTCCACATCTGAGAGGCTTCCATTAGCCATGTGTTCATCCCTGTTGAGATTATATGTGATGTGGCTCCGCATGGCTTAGCAGGCATCGCGTGGCTTAGCAGGTTATCGATGTGCTGGCAGAACTTAGCAAGGCGAGCAGGTGCTAGCAAAGATTGGCATGTCTCAGCAAGGCATATGAGAGCTAGCAGGGCTTGATGGGGCTGATCAAGGCTTCGCTGGGCCTGGCAAATAACTAGCAGAACTTATCAGGGCTTCGCAGAGGGCCACAGTGCTTAGCAGTGCCTAGCAGGGTTCGGCTAGGCCTAGCAGGGCGTAGCAGGAGCCAGCAGGGCTTAGCACGGCATCGCAGTGGCTAGTCACAGGAGGCCCTAAGGATCCTGGATTCTACTACTAAAGGTCCCATAAGATTGAAATTGAGGCGGATGCTCCTCTAATAATATAATATTCCCGTCGGTTTCATCCTCAATCGGTTTCCATTGGAGGTGGGCCCACTTCTAATGGGACAGCTCTGCTGGGGGGGTGGGTGTCGGGGTGGCTCTGCCGGGGTTGGGGGGGGGTCCCTAGTCAATTTTGGTGGCAAAATCGGAACTCCAGCTCACTCCGGGTCGGCCCCTCGCCCCGGAGAGCTCGAACGCAGGCTCAAAAAACCCAGCGGCCGCCCAGACGGCCCAAGAGGGCCGTGAGTGGCCGAAACATCGCTCCCAGACACTCGATATGTTCCTCAGACGGCTCCAGAAGCCTCCAACGTACCCTCCCAGCACCTCCTGAGAGTGCCCAAAGACGGAAAATCTGTCTCATTCCCTAGGGAAGACGTACATTTTTTGCATTTTCGCTTCTTCGGCCTTCGCAGTGTCCACCCCGGCCCAAGAGACCCCCAAAACAGGCCCAGAGGCTCTCAAGAGGGCCCCAAGTCGGCCCAAGAAGGGCCCAAGACGGCCAGGGAGGCCCCGAAGACAGCCCAAGCGGGCCCCAGGACGGGCCCAAGAAGCGCCTAAGAGGGCTCCATGACGGCCCCAGAAGGGCCCAAGACGGCCCAAGAGGCGCCCAGGAGGCACCATAATGGCCCCAGGAGTCCCCAAGAAGCCCCGAGAGGCCTCAAGTGGCCCGAAAGAGGCCCCAAAAAGGCGACCAAAAGCGCTCCCGAAGGCTTAAAACTTACCTCCTACACACCCCCAGGAGGCCTCCAGGATGCCTCCTGCATGCCCCCCAAGAAACCCAAAAGGCCCCCAAGAGGCTCAACAATCACCTCCAAGACGCCCCCCCAGGAGGCCTCGAAGATGCGTCGTAGAGGCCCCTCAAGAAGCCCACGCAATGCCTCCAAGCTGTTTCCAAACCACTTACGTTTGAATAAGCGCGCTAGAGCGAAAGCGTCCTTCTGACAGCGGGATCGTCCCGGATCGGCGGCACCGGCCGGAGGCCTCTACAATGTTAGATGCCCGTCGGTTTCATCCTTAATCGGTTTCCATTGGAGGTGGGCCCACTTTGAATGGGATTATAATATAAAAGTGGACCCACCTTTAATGGATGCTTGTTTGTACACACGGCTCCCACCTCAAATTGGATTATACTACAGATGGGCATTCCCTAATTGGATTACATTACAGGTGTTCCCTGATCTGATTATATTGCAGGTGGCCCTAACCCTGCTAGGATTATGTTAGAGGCGAGGCCGCTCCTGGTAGGATTGTATGACAAGTGGCTCTATTCCTGATCGGACTTCAGTCAAGGTGGCGTCATATTTCGTACGAATATATTAAAGGTGGGCCCATCTTTATTAGGACACTGTCAGAGGTTGCTCGATCCATAAAAGGGTTGTCTTAGAAGGTACAACATCACCAGTAAGATTATATTAGAGGTGGCTCCATCCCTAATCGGATACCAGGGGTTACCCCATCCCCAATGGGATTCACTTGAAGGTGGATCCATCCCTTAGGTGGCCCCATCCTTAACAGGATTATGTTAAAGGTCACTTCACCTCTAAGAAGAATTACATTAGAGCTGCATCGAGTCCAAATCTAAGATAACGGTATTGAGATAGGCGAACCCTTGATAGGAGTTTATTAGAGGTGGCCCGATCCCAATTAGGATTTCTAGAGAGAAAGAAAAAGAGAGAGAGAGAGAGAACAAAAAAAAAAAAAAAAAAAAAAAAAAAAACGGATAGAGAGAGAGAGAGATAACAAAAAAAAAAAAAAAGAGAGAGAGAGAGAGAGAGAGCTCCCAAATAGTCCCGTAGTTCCCCTCCACCCCCCTCCCCCTCCCCTCCCCCTCCCCCTCTCCCTTCCACTTCGCCCCCTCCCCATCCCTCCTCCCTCTGCCCCTCCCCCTCCTCCTCCCCTTCCCCCCCCCCCCGCCCGCCCCCCTCCCCCTCCCCTTCCCCTTCCACCTCCGGCCGCGACAGGGAGGCGAGCAGGCTTGCAGAGCCCAGGGCTCTGCCTGGCGCCCCTGGCGCCCCTGGGTAGCCAGGCCCGTGCGGCGCCACGCCTGCGCGCCGACAGGGGGGGGGGGGGAGAGGGGGAAGGGCAAGATAGGCGTGCTGGCGCAATGTCTGACATCCCGTCCTTTCCATCCCCATCTCTTCCCATCTGTTCGGACTTTTTCCCTATCCGCGGACGCGTGTCATAGCCGTCCTGGGGCGGGGGAGGGGGGGAGCCCAAGAACCATCCCTGAGGACCCTGGCCCACGTCCGCGTCGTCGTCGTTGCCGCCGCCGCCGCCGTCGTCATCGTCGTCGTCGTCGTCGTCGTCGTCTCCCTTCAGGGTCGGCGAGACCGGCCGGAAGGCCGTCGCAATAGTAGTCAGAGTAGTTTAATTGTATACGGGGGAAGCTAGGCGCGCTCGCGCCATATCTGACAGCCCACCCCTCCCACCCATCCCGTCCCATCGCGCTGACTGTTTCTATCTAACGGCGGGAGCAAAGCGCCGATCCGAAAATGAGGCCCGCGCTGCAGCGGGCACACCATTTCAGAACATCAAAAACTCGAAGATTCAAAACAACAACAAAAACGTGTGACCAATCCTGCGTGCGTAAAGACGATACGCGGAGAGGGCGAGACATCTTCTGGACAGAGTCAGGGAGAGAGGAGACTAGCACGCACAATGTGCAATTGTGGATGGGGGAGGGGGGAGAGCGAAAGGGAGTGGGAGAGCGAGAGACAGACAGACAGACAGACAGACAGACAGACAGACAGACAGACAGACAGACAGACAGACAGACAGACAGACAGGCAGAGGTCGCATGGGTCGTATTGCGAGGGTCCAGAAGCACACCGCGCAAGATGCTGCCTATGCGCACCTCCTCGGAAGGTCAGCACACGGCGGAGGTCCCCCCCTATCAGAAGGGAGGGGGTGAGCGGGAGGGGAGGAGGGGAAGGGAGGGGAAGGGGGGGAGGGGAGGAGGGGGCAAGCTAGTGCGCTCGCGCCACGTCTGACAACCTACCCCTCCCACCCATCCCTTCCCATTGCGCTGTTGTGTCTCTGTCTGCCGACGCGTGCCATAGCGGACATGGAACTCCAAAGGGGACCTGTCATTATGTTGTACACAATCAGAAGAAGGGAGCTGCGGACGTTGGGGGAGGTGACGGATGAACAGGAAGATGAGCAGAAGGAAAAGGAGGATGAGGAGGAGGAGGAGGAGGAGGAGGAGGAGGAGGAGGAGGAGGGGGGGGAGGAGGAGGAGGAGGAGGAGGAGGAGGACGACGACGAACCGCAGCAGGAGGAGCTGTGGTGAAGGAGCGGGAGGAGCAGGAGGACCAGGGGAAGAGGGAGGGGAAAGGAGGGGGGCGACAACAATGGAGAAGGGATCCAGAAAAGTGGCCCGCGATGGGGCCAGAGCGCCAGTCTGAACGGCGGGAGCAAAGCGACAATCCGAACATGAGGCCCGCGCTGCAGCGGGAGCACCATGCTGAAACACCGAAGACAACATGATTAAAAACAAAAAAACATATCTATATATATATATATAAAGAATACGTCGAGAGTTCGGGACGCCTTCTGGACAGAGTCGAGTCACGGAGAGAGGAGAGTGGTGTTCAGACGGAGTAATTGCTAAGAAGGGGGGGATGGGAAGAGGGAAGGGGAAAGGCAAGGGGGCAGGTCAAATGGGGGGAAAGAGAGGGAGAGGGGGGTATGAGGGGGAGAGAGGGAGGAGCGGGAGCGGTAAGAGGAACTGAAGGGGGAGCGGCAGGGGGAAGATGGCGTTGGAGGGGCAGGAGGAAAGTGGAAGGGGCAAAGCGGGGAGAGGGGAGAGATGAGGGGACAAGCTATGCCCGCTCCCGCCATACCTGACAGCCAGCCCCTCGCGACCATTCCTTCCCACTGTGTTCTACCCTCTGGTTCCAAACAATGGTCCCATCGTGCGATGCGCAAGTATTGAAAGGGAGGACATTGGTCCCCCCAGCTGCCCCCTCTGCCTCCTCAAGCCAGGAGGAGGAGGAGGAGGCGGATGAGCAGGAGGATGAGCAGGATGATGAGGGACGAGGATGGGAAGAGAAAAAGCAGGAGGAGCAGGAAAAGCAGCAGGACCAAGGGAAGGCGGAGGAGTGAAAAGGAGGGAACGGCAACGACCAGGAACGAATGGGATGCACAAATATAGCACGCGACGGGGCCAGAGCACAAATCTAAACGACGGGAGCGAAGCTTCGATCCTGAAATGGGCGCCAACCCTGCAGCGGGAGCACTTACCCACGTTTGCAAGCATAGGTATACCTAAACAGATCCACATGCACATACAAAAACACACATGTCGGCATGTGTACAGCGACGGCCGCGTCCACAGATGTGCGCCCCTGATCCCCAACGATCGTCGGCGGCGGGTGGGCGGGGTCGCTGCGCACTGTGCTGACCATGCACTGGGTTAGCGGAGGATCAGGCGGAAGGGCAGGAGAAGGGGGAGGAGACTGAGGAGGTAGAGAGGAGGACGATACCGCAGACGACGAGGATGACGACGAAGATGGTGGAGGGGTGAGGAGGAGGAGGAGGAGGAGAAGGAGGAGGCGAAGGGGGAGGAAGATACTCTTGCTTCCCTGGCCACCAAAAGGTGAAAATATCGCCGGCGAAGCGCCTGATCATTGTGGTACAAATCCCGTTAATCTCCTGATCCCTGAGTCCCCATTACCATCCAGACTCAACAGCATGTGCGCAGCTGTCTACCTTCCGATGCCAAAAAAAAAAACTGCAGCAGCCCGTCCAATACTGCAGCCCGAACTCCCCCAGCTTTGAGGGGCAACGATAGGGGGGGATAGAGATAGGGGGGGAAACATCGACCTGGAATCGGCGATACATCGCCGATAGATCGGCGATAGGCCTCTGATAGTGAATCCGCACCTTGCTGGGCAAGTTGGGGCTATCAGGCCCCTATCGGCGATCAATGGGCGATTGGGGGTCGATGCATCACCCCCTATGCATATCCCACCCTATCGTTGCCCACGAAGCTTTCAGACAGCCAGCGCCTGGGTAGAAGGCTGCGTGCTGGGGCGGCGCGGCGTAGCCCGGGTAAGCCTGCCGCGCGGAGGTGGCGGCGGCGGCGACGGAGCGGCAACGGTAACCGAGGCCGACCTGCACCACCGAAGCTTCGAACCGGCCAGCAGCATGCGACATGCCGTGCGCATCGGCAGCCGACTGCAGTCACCAGATGGCAGCCCCTAAGTGAGCATCGTTTAACCGATCCCCATCCCCACCAGCGTGGGCTGGGCCCCACTGGCCGATTCACCTCCCTGGATGGGGATGTAGGCCGCTGTGTTCGGGTTTCGAGGGGCAGATCCCCAACTGAGGTGGTGAGACGGTGGGGCTCGAGATGTGGTGGACGGGGATGGGGATAGGGATCGGTTAAACGATACTGAACACGGTCGGGAGCCCCGAGCTGTCCTACATCGACGACGACGACGACGGCGACGACGGCGACGACGGCGACGACGGCGACGACGACGGCGACGACGAGCTGGACGGAGGCGAGGGGCGGGCACGGGCGAGGGCGTGCGCGCAGGGCGCGGGCGGCCCAGGGCTCTCCAGAGGTCGAGGAGGCGGGGAGGAGGGGGGTGCGGCAGGCTCACGTCGCCACGACTTGTGCTTCGGTCGCTGGCACTGCGAGGGTCGCTCAGCCTTGTGAGCTGTGGCTTCTTGACAGCCCGGATCGTTCAATGCTGGCGGGTTTCAGGGCGCTGATGGCTTTCAACCTTGAACGCCTGCGCTGGAGACGTCGACATGTCCACGCGGCGCGAACCTACCGTAAAGCCAAGATGTTGGAACAAGGTCAACTTCGGTTTCGATTCGATGCTGGATTGTCCTTGGATCCTTGGGTCCTTCCATGGGTCTTCCTCTGGTGATCCTCGCGCATCTGAACGCATCGGGGGCCCAAAAAGCGCCTCGTTCCTTATCCAAGATTCCGCACGGTATGACTTCTGACTGCATGAATCCATGAATGACTGATGTAGGCTACGAGCCTGATGACCTAAACTACCTAATCTTCACAGCCGAGCGAATCCTTAAAAGCCAGGGGAGCGCACGCAGGAAATATGTAGTGGCGAGTAACGCCCACCTCCAGTTCCTCGGCACTGGTCAAGATTCAGCCCATCGCTATGCTAAACTAGCGGTCCTGGCGCACGAAAAGCCGAGCCCTGAGCAACAATAATGGTTGAAGAAGGTCATATCTGCCTCTCGCGAATTGTGTCGTCTCGTTGCCAAGCTATTCGCCCTGTGGTCAACTTGCGACCTGTCACAGGCAACGAGGGCCAAGAAGGTGGAGCCTCTCCCTCCCACCAACCACAAGGTGCGTCACGCCTGGGATGGATGGAGAATCACTGACAGTGCAGGCAATGCTTGAGTGTGATTCAGTCCACTTGGCCTTCCAATAATTGATACAAAAACGCTCGATGACACCAAGCCGATCGAGCTTGAACATAAGTGCGTTGCGCTGCCTTGCTCGGCTGGCAGTGTGATATGTACCTGCCTAATGTGCAAGGCGTTCTCCTCTGGTGGCCATGTGAGGTACCTCAGCCAGGAGTGCACGGGCGCCCCGCCCAGTGAGCGCAGGAGCTACTACTGGAAACAAATCACGACTGGTAAGCACCCCAAGCTGAAACGGAGGTTGGCCAAACGTGTGCACACTCAGCGTCGGTCGTCTCTTCGGTTAAGACGTGCGCGACGCCAGCCTCCTGGCTGTCGGCCACAGGGGCACGCGCCCTATCGTGCCCGCTTGCTCGTGCAGAACTGTGCTGCTCGTGGTGCCCCCCTTGTGATTTCTTCAGTTGTCTCATCAGGGCGTCGGGCCAGTGCTACTCCTGCTCCTCCTCCTCCTCCTCCTCCTCCTCCTCCTCATCATCATCCTCATCCTCATCCTCATCCTCATCCTCATCCTCATCCTCATCCTCATCCTCATCATCATCATCATCATCATCATCATCATCATCATCATCATCATCATCATCATCATCATCATCATCAGCATCAGCATCAGCATCATCATCATCATCATCATCATCATCATCATCAGCATCATCATCATCATCATCATCATCATCAGCATCATCAGCATCATCATCATCATCATCAGCATCATCATCATCATCATCATCATCATCATCATCATCATCATCATCATCATCATCATCATCATCATCACAATCATCATCACCATCACCACCACCACCACCACCACCATCATCATCATCATCATCATCATCATCGTCGTCGTCGTCATCATCATCATCATCAGCAGCATCATGATCATCATCATCATCATCATCAGCAGCATCGTCATCATCATCATCATCATCATCACCATCACCATCATCAACACCATCACCACCACCACCAACAACACCACCATCATCATCATCATCATCATCATCATCATCATCATCATCATCATTATCATCATTATCATCATCATCATCAGCAGCAGCAGCAGCAGAAGCATCATCATCAGCAGCATCATCATCATCAGCAGCATCATAATCCTCCTCCTCATCATCAGCAGCATCAACATCAGTAGCATCTTCATCATCATCAGCAACAGCATCATCATCATCAACATCAGCATCAGCATCGTCATCATCAGCAGAATCATCATCAGCATCACCATCACCGTCACCATCATCATGATCATCATCAGCATCATCAGCATCATCAACATCATCATCAGCAGAATCATCATCAGCAGCAGCATCATCAGCATCATCAGCAGCATCAGCATCATCATCCTCCTCATCATCAGCAGCAGCATCAACATCAGCATCGTCATCATCATCTTCATCACCATCAGCATCAGCAGCATCATCATCATCGTCAGCATCATCAGCATCATCATCTCGACCCTCCTCCTCCTCCTCACCCTCCTCCTCCTCATCCTCCTCCTCGTCCTGATCCTCCTTATCCTCATCCTTATCCTCCTCCTCCTCCTCATCCTCCTCCTCCTCCTCCTCCTCTGTCATTCCTGCTTTCTGTATCTGGAGCTGCGTTCGGCGCCCTGGCTTTGTTTGTTCTCCCGGCATGTGCCGCGTTCTCGGCCGTGCTCGCCCGCTTGTGCGCTCCCTGCTCGCTGCCGCCCGCCCTCCATGTGCGCTGTTGTCCAGTGCTTGATGTGGGGTCTCGTTTCGGGTGGAGCCAAACAACGGTTAGGAGCTCTTGCACAGCGAGTCGCGGCCGCGGCCCCGACGACATGCGATGCCCTGCAAGCAGATAGCGCGTCGCGCCGAAGCGTGGTGGGCCAGAACCGGCGGAGCGGCACGCGATCAAGAAGCTCCCGACCGCAATAGAACAAGAACAAACGCCATGTAAACATAAACTTTTGGCGCTCCGCGCAGATTTCTTAAATCCACGCTGGGGCCCCCCTGGCGGCGCCTCCGGCGCCGCCCCTGGCGCGCTCCGCGGATCCAAGAAATCCGCGCGGAGCGCGGAAACCTTATATTTATGGCGTTTTTTCTTCTTCGACCGTAAACTGCTCGGGATGCGACCACACGTTGGACAGTGTCGCGTCGCCAGCCGTTGCGCGGTGCCGCTGCAGCGAAATCTCGTGCACGCGTGCAGGGAGGCGGCCCTCTCTTGCTGCCGCCGCCCTGCGCGCTGACAGGCCTGTGGCTGCTGCTCGCTCACGAGGGGCAACGATAGGGGCGGACTGGCATAAGGGGGTAAACATCGACCTGGAATCGGCGATTCATGGCCGATGGATCGGCGAAAAGCCCCTGGTTGCAAATCCGCACCCTTCTGGGCGGGGCGGGGCCATCATACCCCCATCGGCGATCGATGGGCGATTGGGGATCGATGCATCCCCCCCTACTGTGGAGGCCAGTCCACAAGAAACCTTCCACAAGAAACCAAACCCTGGGACCCCAGGACGTCCACTGACTTCTGGTGTTGGAACGTCACGCTCTGCATACCAAAACCATCGAAACCAGAGAAACCCAGGGCACCCTGGAGGCAAGCAGGGTGTCTCTTGGCATGGGCCCCCACTGTAGGCCTGTCTCCCCCCTACCGTTGCCCCTGAGCTCACGGTCACTGCCTCCCGCTCGTCTCCCGCTGCCCGGCACGGATCGATCTCCCGCGAGGGTGCGAGCGGCGCGGTCGCGGGTGCCGTGCTCGACGGCGGCCTGATGGTCCGCCAGGACGACCGCGAAAGCGGGCCAGAGCAGCGCAGCGGCCAATCCCCGCCCTCTCCTGCACCTCCTGCACCCCCCCCCTCTCCTGCACCTCCTGCACCCCCCCCCCCCTACGCCCCCCCTTCATGCTCCGCTCCTCATCGTCGTCGGGGAGGGGGGGCGCCCCAGGCGGCGCGATGCCAGGGGGGCCACCAAGGCCCGGCTGCGCGTACGCGCCACCCTGGCGAGAAGGGAGGATCTGAAGGGGAGACGGCCTTTCAGGTTTCGTTCATGCTCTCCCCCTTTTTTCTCTCTCTCTCTCTCTCTCTCTCTCTCTCTCTCTCTCTCTCTCTCTCTCTAAATATATATATATATATATATATATATATATATATATATATATGCCTGTTTGTGTCTCCGCCAGAAGTTAGAAACATTGTCTATTGGCAGCTGTCGGTTGGGCGAGGCTCGCAGCTGGCCGAGATCAGTGCCGGCAGCACTTCAACAAAACAAATCAGCGCACAGAGCAAGATTATTCAATAATCAATGTCTCCCAGGAGGCGTTGGGGTGGACGGTGGGCCCAGAAAGAACTGAAGCCAAAGGCTATGGAACACAGACAGCGGCGTAGTGACTGGAGGCATTCACGCTTGGCTGACCATGCCTGTTTGTGTCTCCGCCAGAAGTTAGAAACATTGTCTATTGGCAGCTGTCGGTTGGGCGAGGCTCGCAGCTGGCCGAGATCAGTGCCGGCAGCACTTCAACAAAACAAATCAGCGCACAGAGCAAGATTATTCGATAATCAATGTCTCCCGAATCCGCTATCATGTAGTGTTCTGGCAGGGCACGGAGCACAGGGATGGGTGGGTGGGGGACGCAAAAGGCGGACTGCGACTGAGGTGCTCAGCCAAGCACCGAGAAAAAGCTGCACAAAAACGCTGCGGATACTGCTGGGTTTTCTTGGTGCGCCAAACTCCGTGAACTTTGCCGGTCAGAGACGCATGAGGCTGCTGAGAAAAGGCGCAAACTCCTCTGGTGCCTGTACAACGTTTGCCTAGCGTTCTCAGCGCCGGGCAGTGCCATACCAGCAGCCTCGTGGGCTTTTTCCAGGGAGTGCCGTAGGCACACTGATCCAGCAACACGTCTTGGTGGTCAGAAAAATCAGCTCGCAACTGAAGGATACCAGGATGAAGCCAGAGCCTGGATGTCAGTGGGTTCTCTATGACCACAACGATTCTCTTAGGTAAAAGTTCAGAAAGCAACTTCACCAACAGCTCTACCATAAGATTTCCCAACTGCACAGCTTCCCTGTCACAATCACGCTCATACTGCGGATGCCCCAACAAAAACTTGTCATCATCACGCAATCGGGGAAGAGGAGGACGGTCGCGAATACGAGTCCAGGTCGAGCACACGATACCGACCCAGAGAGCTGCGAACACCCCACTCAGCCCGAAGCGGTTCTTGCCCGTTTGGAAGTCGCGGGCGATGCTCCTGACGACGGCCGCACTCGAGAGGTCGGCCTTTGAACTGATTTCCGCGTCCCAGCCGACGCCGCCGATGCCTTGGCGGCCCGCGCTGTCGAGGATCCCGCGCGTGCCGCAGCACAGCTCTTGGAGGAGCCACGGTGTCCTCCAGCGCCGCGCCCGCCCGGGCTGGGGGCGGAGAACATAACCACCTGAGACTGCATCCACTCGGCCGCGCGAGACGCGGCGGCCTGTTGCGCCGTCGACAGCTTGGCCCACTCCTGCTGCACCAGCCCCGCCGCCTCGTACCGCTTGACGGTCGCGTCCGAGCTCCACCTCCCTCGGCGCTTGACGTCGAGGAGCGTGCGGACCCCCATGAGGATGTCGTGGGACGGCCCCGCGTGGCGGATCTGGTACAGGCGATACCGCTGGGAGGGAAGCAACCCGAGCTGCTCCTGCGAGCGGCCCCACTGCGTGCTGAGCTCCCTCTCGCTGACCTCGAACAACTTGGCCAGCCGATGGCCTCGAAGTCGCCGATGCAGCGCGGGGCCCAGACCTGGGAGGTACGGAGAGTCGAGGAGCAGCGCCTCGTCGGACACCCCCACCTTTGACGTCTCCCCGCGGCGGGCCGGGTGCACGTTGAGCACCCAGTGAGTGCTCGAGCCTCCTGGCGGTACCAGGTCCTCCTCCCTCAGGCTGTGGACGTCCACGGGCCTGAAGTAGCAGACGAACATGGTCAGCAGGCAGAGCGGGATGGTCCAGTCCTGGAGGCGGAGGTATATGTGCCAGGCGACCCAGCACACCAGCTCGAACGGGACGGGCGGCACGGTCTGCGCTGGGGCCAGCAGGCCCAGCCCCCGAGCGGCACGGGAGAACCGCGGAAAACGCAGCTTCCCGATGGGGGACAGGCTGGCCAGGTGCCAGGCGGCCGCGGCGTACATCTTCATGAGGTCGGGCCGCTCGAACCCTTCGAGAAACAAGTAGTCCGCGAAGTCCACCAGCGCAATGTCGGCATTCCTCACGCTGTCCAAGGTGTAGCCGTTCATGGCCACAAAATCCTGGAGCTCCTCCCACCAGGCTGTGTACAGGCCCTCCGTGGGTGCCGTAATCGAGTGACGTTCGAGAATGGAATGCTGGCCCGACAGGGCAAGACGCTCGAAAGCCCCGAAGATGCTCTGGCGCCTCTCTCGACGGATGTCTCTCGAGGGACCCGAGATGCGCTCCACAGCTCCCTGGCGTTGGAGGCGCAGCGGCGTCGGGCCCGCAGACCTCGCTGGGGTGGAACCCCGGTGGTGCCGCTGGAGCCGTGAGGTCACGCCCTCCCCGTGACGCGCCAGAGCTGTCTTCTTGCCCTTGGCGCGGCGGGTGGGCGCCCGAGCCGCTGCGGCCCTTCGGAGCCCTGACGTCACTCTCCCATCGTCTGGAGGATCGGTCGGCAACCTCATTGAGCTCGGAGGGGGTCCATCGTGCAGATAGACTCGAGCCAGTAGCCAACATGTAGGTAGCAATACGCCTGATGATGATGAGCAGGTCGTAAGATGATGCCCGAGAACGCCCAATAGCAAGAGTGTTCCCCAGCTGGTCCCCCACGAGTAGAAGACGCTTACCAAAAGACCGAGACGACCTCATATAATGCTGTATCCCCAACAGAGACGCCCGACCTTCCAGAATAGGTATAGCCTCCTCCTTCCTGAAACGCATAGCAAACACCTCGTGCCACTTGTCGGGGTCAATGAAGGCCTCTGGGATCTCGTCGAACCCTGGGTTGACCTCCAGGTCCTCAGGAGCCTCCCCTAGGGCCTGTCGGGTCACTGGTAAGACCGTGTCCACATCGTGAAGAGGGTCCCCACCTAGGGCATGCAGACGAGGGCGACAGTGAAGGGGATGACGAGAGCGATATCTCCATCTCTCACGGACTCGGCCGATGGACGCTACTTCTGAGGGGTCAGCCTGGCGCACAGCAATCCCTGCACCAGACTCGCACGCATCAGTCGACACAACTGTATCGTGCCACGGCCTGTCCAAACGAGCGAGGCAAATGAAAGTTAGAGAACGTATCCAGCGAACTTCGCGCCTTGCAGAAGCCCACAAACTCTGGGGCTTCTTCTCTGCCGCCTGCGCAAAATCGTAGCAGGCTCTGAGCACCGAGAGGACCTCCCGTCTAATCAGAAAGAAATCGACCACGTGGCCAAGGTACTGCTTCATCTGCCTACCCGTCACTGGTTGACCCCCCTCAAGAGCCTCACAAACCCTGCGAAGACGTTCCCCTCGTTCAGACCGATTACGAACCACCCAAGACTCCCCATCGATAACGCGACCCAGCGAGTACGACAGGGTCTCGGGCTCGGTCTCCTCATGGACAGTGAACTGCACGAAACGAAGCCTCCGAACAATCACATCCTTAGCCTCCTTCACCTCCTCCCTCCTGATGCCTGCCACATTGATGTTGTCGCAATAGGGTAGAACGGCCAGCTGGGTCCCAAGATCCGGAGCAGGGGCCTGGTCTCTCAGGAACTTGAAAGCCAAGCCAGCCCCAGCCAAGGAAACTCTGCACTGGTGTTCCACGAGGCGCTGGACGAAATAGAAGGCCCAGGAGAACCCCATTGGAAGAGTCAACAGCATAGGGTAAACCGATACTTCACGTGCCAGATCCCCAAGGCCACTAGGGCCATCAATACCAGCGTCGGCCCTCTCTCCCTCCGTGATCGGCGGCATGCAAAAATACGGGCACAGCTCTGGAAGGTTGCGAACGCAGTGGAAACAGTCCTTCACGTCCGCCTGGGCTACCCAGAGCTTGCTTCCGCCGCTTCCGCTGTCGTCAGCTCCGCCGACCTCGGTTCCAGGACGAGCCTCGGGACGCTCCAGGTTGCCCCAAGCTGCAGCCGTGCCCATCTCAGGGGCAGGGGGTGCTCGGAAGAGGAGGTTCGTGTTTCGGCAATCCATGATGAGTCGTAACCTGTCGTGCTTCTTTACTACGAAGAAAGGGGTCACCAGGCTCAGAGGCTTCTCTGTCCATCCAATCATCTTGGCATCGCTAAGGTCTCTCAAAAACTCAACGTAGACTCCTCGCTGCGCCTTAAAAATCTCGTCGAAGTACAACCTAAACTGATGTCCCGACTCTCGATAGAACCCCACGTCAGCAGGGTCAGCAAGCATATGAGTATCCCATGACTTCAGCAAATCCTGGTCAGGCTCCGGGAGGGTAGACAGTAGATCCGCCGAGGGCCTCCCGGGATCTGGAAGAGAAACCTGATCCCGCCGATAGGGACGAACCGTGGTGCTGCAATCGCTGCCTGCATAGTCAACGATGCCTGACAAGAGCTCGCGGACGGCCCCGTGTCTGGTGTACAAGGTCTGGGATGGCGGAGTGGACGCGACGTCACAGCGTATCGCATCCTGAGACAACATCTGGCCCATCGCGGGGGTACCGTCGTGCACCCCGGCGCAGCCCTGCATCTCATTCAAGGAACTGATGACAGAGTTGGTAGCCCTGTCCAAAAACCTCCTCCTCGCCAGGCGTCTTCGCACCGAGCGTGAGGGATGACCCTCAGTAGCCGACTGCTCATCGACGTGAGGGAGCGGAAAGAGATCTCGTGGCCGAGCTCTATCAAAAAATTGGGGACCTCCTGGGTGAGTCACTGCCGAGAGGCTAGGTCCGTCGCCCCTCGGAGGGGGCCGCATCACCCCTGTCCCTCTGAGGTCTTGTCCTTGTTGTTCTTGTGATTCTGGCGGCCCAGGCGGCGCTCCTCACGAGCCTTCCTCTGCTCCTTGGCCACCTGGTGCTCATCGCGGAGGGCGGTCGCCACGTGTTGCTGGAGCAGCGGGGCCACCATCATGCCCTGTCGGCGGCGGCCCCACCCCATGTGCTGGTCGGCGGCCGAGTAGTCGGGGGCCGACGGGCTCAGGGAGTGGGCGCTCTCGATCAGCTGGAGCCTCCTGCACACGAGCTCCGCACTGCGCAGCGCGGGGGCGTGCAGCTGGTCTGTGCACACCATACTCTCGAGCACCTCGGAGAGCACCTCATGCTCGAAGACGCTGCGGTCCCCGCTCGACACTCCAGATGTCGCCCTCCACGACGCATGATGAGACACGGGCGTCTGGGACCTCTCGACATAGGTCTGGCACCTCCAGGCCACTGTGCCGGGACCCTCCAGCCCTAAGCCTCCCTCGGGCTCGTCGGGCACGAAGCTGGCGACGCCATCCTGGAAGAGCCTCCTGCGCCTCCCCATGCCATCGAACTTCACGGGCATCACCCGGAGGTCGTCCATCTTGAACTCATCGATGCCGTCCTGGGGGATCATCTGCAAGAACGCCGTGCTGCCGTCCGCCATGGGGGCGACCGCCCTCTCGCCCAGGACCACTGATCCCGCGGGGAGTTCCTCCATGCCGTCGCCCTTCTGGTGGCGGCCGTGGTCCTCGGCGAAGACCCACACGCGGCCTGGCTCGGCGCGTCTGGCGGCCGCCCCGGCGGGCCGGCCCAAGCCCTGTCGCTGCACGTTCCGCATCGGGGCCGCCAGCGGGGCGGGCGGAGGTGCTGGTGCTGCCCCCAACATGCCCTGCGCCTCGGCGAAGAGCCTCTGGCGCTCATTGGGCGGCACGTTGTGTCGGAAACGATAGATCTGATTCTCTGGCACATGGGCGGGGCGACCTCCTGGCAGCCCGATCCAGTACACCGCTTCGATGTCATCCCCAGGCGCAATATTGAACTGATAGTGATCCTGGTCGGCGGTGTACAGGGTGACCTCAGTAGGATCCTCTGGGCTGACCCCTGTGATCAGCGTCTCATGATACAAGTCCTCGTCGACCCCATTGTACTTAATAAGGATATAGTCTCCCCTGGCTGCCATATCTACTGTTGCTTGTGGCGGCCAGTCTCACGACGGGCGCGAACGGCTGCTACCTGCTCAGCGGCGAGCCGCCGCTGCCTCTCGTCTAGCTCAGCCGAGCTGGCGTGCTGGCCGCTCGCTCCTCTCTGGCCACGCGTCCTCCGGGCACACCAGCACCCGAGCAACACTCCCGCGACTGTGGCAACCAGCAGCGGCAGGAAGAGGATGGCGAAGATGCCGTCCTCCAGCAAGGGGTACACGTCCCTGATGTCGGGGACCGACGGGCGCTCCACAATCGGACAATCAGTCTCGGGGCACTCAGGTCTGGGGCAGACCACCTCTGGGCACTCGCAGACCACCTCTGGGCACTCCTCTTCGTGCCCGGGGTAGCCTCCTCCGCCCCCAGGAGAGGCGGACTCCTCAGGCCCTCGCACGGCCTGCCAGACGAGGGCAGCCCAGCCCGGCAGCCCTGCTATCGCGGCAGCGTACAGGGCTTGGAGGTCTGGGTCGAGCATACACCCAGAAAGAACTGAAGCCAAAGGCTATGGAACACAGACAGCGGCGTAGTGACTGGAGGCATTCACGCTTGGCTGACCATATATATCGCTCTCTCTCTCTCTCTATCGCTCTCTCTCTCTCTCTCTTTCTCTCAGTTTAAACTTGTAAATGTGGTTCTCTTCGCAGGTCGGGTAAGAGTTTGAGTGGGATCGCGGGCGAAAGAGCATACTGAGGAGGAGGACGAGGACGAGGACGAGGAGATGGGAGCAGCCAGCCAGATCGATCAGTTGGGCAGCGCCTCGTTTCTTCTCCTCCTGCTTCTCCTACTCATCTTCACTACTACTTTACTGGAAGGCCCTAGATCCCGGGAATGAGGGCCTAGAACACGCGAGAGGACACAAGACCCTTCCGAGGGCCACATTGCCACAGGAATGTAAGAGTCATGGGATGCGAGACGCAGGATGCAAGCGTACCCTTGATTTGGCAGGGTCGACCTACTAATCAGGGACGACTGCAGTGCAAGCGGCAGCGCGTGGGCTCGATCAAGAACCGCCCGTTTTTGTTTGCACGGGTTGTGGCGCCAGCGTGCAGAAAAACGTCAGGCCTGGGTCAGGCCTGGCTGCGGCCTGTAAAGGTGATGCCCATCCTGGGACAGCCACTGAGAGAAGCAGGCTTCGGAGAGGCCTGCATCCCAACTCGGCGCGATCCCCACACCCCAAGAGTGAGTCGGCCATTGCCACATCGTTGGACGTTCCAGCCTTGCGCACTTCTTCTGGTTCGGGTGCCGAGGCCGAGGGAGGTTCCTACCGGCTCGAGGTTCCCGAACCCCTGGATATGTATAGGGTTAGGTCGGGCATGTCTTCCTACAGGCGGATTCTGGACGAAACATAAAAAGTCAAAAAGTATTACGTCGAAAATCGTCCCCCGACTATATTTTGACTAGTTTTGAATATTCCTCCTGTAGACGGGACGTGCCCGACTTAAGTATAGGGCAGCTGCTGAGCACGGTTCCCTCGATCCGAAGGATGCGGTGCTTCGATGCCGCTCGGAGCGCGGCGCAACGAAGCCAGCCTTGACCAGGCCCACGCGGACCTGGGGCTCCCCCTCGCTTTGGCCTAAGTGTACAGTAGGGGCCCGACCACAAGAAACCTTCCACAAGAAACCCAAACCCTGAGACCCCAGGAAGTCCATCGATTTTCGGTGTGGGAACGTTACGCTCTCCATCGCAAAACTATCGAAACCCAAGAAACCCAGGGCACCCTGGAGGCAAGCAGGGTGTTGCTTGGCATGGGCCCCCACTGTTCGCAAGGTTTCGCTAAGTGCAAGAAAGCTTCGCTCAACTTTCTATCAGCCAATTTCGGCCATTATTGTTTCCCTCCTCCTCCTCCTCCTGCTCCTCCTCCTCCTCCTCTTTCGCCGCATCCTCCCTCACACCCTCCGTTCCCCTCCCCTTTCGCCCGCCCAGAACTAACACTTCCGATCAATCCATACAACTAAGAAATCCGCCGACCATGTCGGCGCGTGCGAGAGGTGTTTCCATTTGAGTCGTCGTCGTCGTGTCCGTCGCCGCCCACTTCTCCGTTTGAGTAGTCGATGTCGTCATCGTCGTCGTCGTCGTCCTCGCCGTCCTCGCCGTCTTCACCGTCGCCATCCTCCCCCATTTCCCTGGGCCCTCCTCCTCAAGCGATCCAGCCAGAGGGCAATCGGATATCGAAAAACGTCGTCATCGACCTTTCTAATTTTCGTCGTCGTCGTCGCCACTCTCCCCCTTTTCCTGGGCCCTCCTCCTCAAGTGATCCAGCCAGATGGAAATCGAACAACGTTCGCAATCGAGTCGAAGGGAAGCCCCCTCCCTGTGATTCCCTAAGAGGCTCCAAGAGGCCCCCCAGAGGCTCCCAAGAGGCCCCCGGAGAGGCTCCCGACAGGCCTCGAAACTGTTCCCCAGAGGCTCTCGAGAGCCCTTCGAAGAGACCCCAAGAAGCACCCATGAGGACTCCGACCCGGGAGGGGGCATCCTGGGGGGGAGGGTCGCCCCGGGGGGGGGGGGGTCCGGAGGGGGTCCCCGGGGGCATCCCTGGGAAGGAGCCCCAAAGAGCCGCAAGAGGAAACACTAACCGACACTTGAAGCCCTCTGCCCCGAGAGGCAAACAAGAAAGTCCCAAGAGGCACCCCAGATCCCCCGAGAAGGCCCCTCAAGGTTGTGTCCAGATTGTTTCGAGATCTCGGGCCCGAGAGGCCCCCCGGATCGCTCCAAAATGGCCCAACGCTTCCCGAGAGAGCCCCACGACGGCACAAGAAAAACACACAACGGCCCCACGAGGCCCCAAGACGGCACAAGAAGGCATTCCAGGAGAGCCCAGAAATGGCCCAAGACGGTCCCCACAAGGCCTCAGACGCTCAGAGACGGCCCAAAGAAATCCCCCAATTGTCGCCCCAAGACGGCCCAGACGGCCCGCCCCAAGACGACCCAAAAGGGCTCCCAAACCCCAAGAATGCTACTAGACGAACTAAAAGGCCATGCAAGAGAGGCCAACAGGGCCCACAAGGACCCCCACGAGGGCTCGCGAGCGTCGTCGTCGTCGTCGTCGTCGTCGCCATTCAGGGTCGGCGGCACCGACCGTAAGGCCTTCGCTACGGAAACGGGGAGGGGATCGACTCGGAAGGAGGCCGGATGATCCCTGAAGCCCCACTTCCAACTCCCGAGCGGAAATCGGGAGCGCGCCAACATGGACTAGCGATCGAAGGATCTGGGGCGCGGTCGCCAAATCCATGGATCGGGGGAGGTGCCCTCCCCTAGAAGATGCCGCCTGTGCCGCCTCGTTCGGCGGCGGAAATCAGCGACTTCCTATGGAAACGGGACCCGTCGCTAATCCACGCCCCCTTGATCCATGTTTGCGATCGCCTGAAAAGAGCTGGTCCCAAGGAAGATCCCAGAATTGATCGCTGGGGCCGCCCCGACCTGCTCATCTGCTACAGCCCTTCCCCCGCTCGGCCGTCGTCGTCGGCATCGTCGTCGTCGTCGTCGCCATTCAGGGTCGGCGGCACTGGCTGTAAGGCCTTCGCAATAGAAAGGGAAGAGGATCAACATAGAAGGAGACCGGATGATTCACGGAAGCCCCACTTCAACTCCCGAGCGGAAAGAGCGGGTCCCAAGGTTATGTTGCTCCCATCGTACTTAAGGACCATATCCCAGAAATACTGTCGAGCATTCGCCGGTCCAACGGGCCAGAGGCGTGCTAAGATCTCCGGTAACAAGTTAACAATATAACAAGTTCGCGCGCGCGAGGCGGCCCCTGGGGGCCCCGACGCGACAAATACCCCGCCAAAGTCCCAGAGATGCCGGAGGCCCCCCAGACGGCCCAAGAGGCGCCCAAGACGGCCTCAAGAGAGCGCCCAGACAGTCCAAGAGCCCTTGGAGTCCTCGAAAGATCGGCCGACGATGCCACAACAAGACGCCCACCATGGCCTCCAGACGCCCCCAAAGGTCTCCAAAAGCACTCCCAAAGAGGGCCCCAAGAGGCAAAATTCATTGATTTCCCGTAGGTTTTGGACACATGTTCGGGTTTCTCCTTTTTCGGCTTCCCGACGCTCTAAGATGGCCTAAGAGGCTCCCAAGATCGCCTCAAGAGGGTCCAAGAGGACCCCAAGGCAGCCCCAAGACGGCCCAAGATGGCCCCAAGACAGCCCAAGAGGCGCCCAAGACGGCCCAAGAGAGCCCCAAAAGGGGCCCAAGAAGGTGACCAGGAACCGAAAAGTCTAGCCTTCAGTCCCAAGAGGCCCCCAGGAGGCCCCAAGAGGCCGCCAAGAGGCCCCAATAGGCCCCCAAGAGGCACCCCAAGAAACCCCAAGTGGCCCCCAAGAGGCCCAAAGAGGCCCCAACACGGCCCCACGAGGCCTTAAAACTGCCTCCCAAAAGGCCCCTGAGAGGCCAACCACGAGAGCCCAACTAACATTCGTGAGGCCTCTGACCCGCCACCCACCGCCTCCGAAAAATGGCAGCCGCCCAACCGCACCGCATTGACAACAACACCCCGACAAACGACAGCGGCGAGGCTATATGGGCTGGCGGAATGAGCGAAGCGATTAAATAATGTCGAGCCCCAGAAAAGTATCGAAACATTGTCAAACGAGTATCGCCTCCCAGGGCCCGACACATGAAAACCCTCCAGTTTCGGTGTTGTCTTGGTGCTCGAAACTCTTTCTGGCAATCAAGGCTGGAGTGGGTTCGAACATCATAGTCCCAAGGAAAATCCCAGATTTGCTCGCTGGGGCCGCCCCGACCTGCCCATCTGCCAAGCCCTTCCCCCGCTCGGCCCAGCCATGCACGCGGCACGCAGAGGATCTGCGCCGCCTCCCCCGCCCACTCCTGGCCCACATCCCGATTCCACCCTTCCCCACCCCTCCTCCTCCTCCTCCTCCTCCTCCTCCTCCTCCTCCTCCTCCTCCTCCTCCTCCTCCTCCTCCTCCTCCTCCTCCTCCTCCTCCTCCTCCTCCTCCTCCTCCTTCCTCCTC